TGTCGACACTGCCGTTGCAGGGAGGGGTCATTTTCAGGACTTTCGTCCCGGATTCAGGTTTTCGCACATATGCCATGTTGACCGCCATGGTCATTTTACCCTAAAACAGTTGAGATTACCTGTTCTAAATGAATCGCATACAAACTCATATACAGGTCCTAGACTATATTTCGCTGTCGTCATGCAGTCGTTATTTATAATGCAAACTTTAAATTGGACCAATCAGTGTCCGCTATTCATGACAGCCATATTTTTGAGATCAGTGAGGATGACCAACCACCCAACAACCAACATCGTTGGTGACCCACGCCCGCGATAACTGATGAACTTTAGACTTCGCTTCGTTTCTCCGGGTGTAAATAGCCGGGAAGAATTAGTACCCTCGCACGGCGGTTCGCGCCATCGGCTCGGGGATTAATTATTAATTATTAAATAATAATATACATGAAAAAATTATATAGAACGGCAAATTCATGGTAAAATTCATGCATTGCATGCATGAAACACTTGATTCACTCATTTGAATGACACAACACTGAATTCAATACAAGTTAAATTTTCAACTATCAGAAGTCAAAACTTAAATCAAAATATTTTTGCGCTTGCTATATATACGTATACTTGGCAACCAGAGGTTCTGGCAACCAGAGGTAACATGAGTTCTTCTGAAGCAGAGGGCGAAAAGGTTCCATGATTTGGGTTATCTCCTGGGAAAAATGGCCAAGTTGATTCACCAGACCAAACCAGGAGCGTAGATCAGTAAGATTCTTCGGTCGTGGAAAATCGCGGATGGACTTGAGGAGATCTGAACTGCATTGGATGCCCAATTCTGACAGGTGAAATCCGCCAAAATCAGCTTCAGTGACAGCTATCTGGGACTTTGAACGCTTCAGTATGACCCCATGCGTGGAGCATCGGAAGGCGTGAACGCGTTTCTTCAAAGCAGAGAGGGTTGGTGCATAGACGAGAACATCATCTACGATCTTACGGATACCTTGTAAGCCATTGACAACTTTGTCCACGCGACGGTTGTACCACTCACTGATACTGCTGATTCCGAATGCGGCTCGATTACACACATATCTACCAAAGGGTGTGATGAAACAGGTTAAGGGACGAGACTCAGGGTGCAGTGGAATTTGCCAGTAGCCATGACGAGCATCAAATTTGCAGAAGTATTTGAGCTCTTCAGCAGGAATGCTTGTTACAGCTTCGAAGGGTGAATTACTAGGGTGGAATTCACGCTGGATAAACTTATTGAGGTGAGTGAAGTCAATGCAGATTCTCAGTTCGTCACTATCTTTCTTTCTTAGGTGCAATAACGATTGGATGACACCAAGTGCTTGGCTCTTCATGGACTGAGATAACACCAAGACGTTCCATTTCATCAAGTTGCTTCTTAAGTTGATCCATGTAGGGAATCGGGATTTTCCTTGCTTTCGCTTGGGCTTAGGGTTGAACATCAGGTTTGAGATTAATCTTGAAGGCATCACCTTTCATCTCCGGGAGAACTGTGTCATCAAAAATATCATTATAAGATTGCAAAAGTGGAGTGAAATTTCTGTCCTCAGTATAGTTAATGTTCTGTCCATTTGCAATAACAGAAATGGCTTTGACTGATGATTCAGAAGGACAGGAGGTCGGTTGCCAATTCAAATCAGACAAAAGTTCATCATCAGACGTGGGAGGGTTTGGAACCAGATGGTCGACTTCGGTCGGTTTGTTGTCACATATCTGAGGGTTGTTTTCTGATGCGTCGAGGGTATTCACTGATGAGGGATGGTTAAGGTTCTGAAGTAGTGTAGAAATAGGCCAGTCATCATCAATCACACCAAGTGCATGACAGGCAGGAGTACCAAGGATAATACCATCTTCACCATGAACAATATAGAACCACTAATCAGCAGAAATGGTGGGATTTTCTGGAGGCCACGAAATCTTTAGGAGAACTCAAGCTTCGACATCCAGGTTATGACCTCCAGCGGTCTTGATGGAACCACATTCAAGATTGTATGACCACTCAGGAGTGTCAAAACGGGTAATCCAATCATAACCAACACAGTTAATGTTGGAGCCAGGATCAATCATGCATTTTTGCTTCCAGTTGTGGTTACCAAGTATAAAATCAGTGTAGTAGTGCTTACCAACACTAGGAATGGTGATGGCTTTGACAGAGACATCAGAGGTAACAGATGGTTCTTGATCAGCTGAAATGACTTTAAGAGTTGGTTTAATGGCGGAACCAAGCTTAGAAGATTCACCAGTAACTTTCTTGTCAGGATCAACAGGATCACCTGTTTGTTTAGAGGACTTGGGGCACATGACAGATTTAGCCCAGTGACCTTTGTTTTGACAATCCCTACAAACAGAGTCCTTTGCAGGGCAAAATTCCTTCTTGAAAACATGGTACTTCATGCGAAATTTGCATTTTCGCAAATTTTCATCTTTGGTAGGTGGAGACTGCCCCCCTTCCCCAGAATTATAGGGAAATTTCTTTTGTCTATATGTAGAGGCTCCAGTCTTGCTAACTTTAGTTAAAAACTTATCAGCTTGGGAAGAGGTAGCTTCATCTACTTGGATATATTGTACAGCTTTGTCAAGAGTAAGGTCTTGAATACAGAGAAGTCCCTTTCTTATGTCATGAAACTTTATACCAGCCACGAGACTTGCTAAGAGAATTCTGTTCTTACACGACATTCGTGTTGAGCTCTGGCAACAGTCCTTGTATTGACATTTATTTAGTAGTGTTTGTAGATCATTGTAAAACTCATCAAACGATTCATTCGAGCCTTGTACTCGTTTGTGGAATTCATATTCATGCACAAATATATTTGAACTGCCACATACCTGGCGTTGAAAAGATTCAATGAGTCGAGTTTCAACATCTTGTTGTCCTAAGTTGTTCATTTGTTTGATAGTATCATCACTAAGTGCATTAATAAAGAGAGCTTTTTGAGTTTCATTTGAGAGTATATACGTATATATAGCAAGAAAAACGTATATATATACAAAAACCGTATATATAAAACGTATATATATACGTATACGTATATACAAAAACCCAGGTGGGGCCAAGCCGCCAGTGACTCAAGACACCAAGGGCGTCAATCCATCCCACAAAGTGGGGTAGGGGGGGGGGACGGACTAGTACTCCAAATTAGGAAGGTCAGGTAGTGTGGTATTATTGCTTTTACATTATGTTACATGAAGTACTCATACTTATATAATATATTAGGAACATTGTAAATAATTAGATATAAATTATAATAAATTATTCTAAAATACAACATGGCGTAGTCGGCAGTTCTCTCGAAAATATCTTGATCAATCCTGATCAATCCTGCTTTCACAGTGAAAGTTAAATGTTTCTTGTGTTTTCTATGGACTAAAGGAACCAGGGAAATTCGACTATTCGAGTTTCTCGGCAGTATCTTTATCTAAATGCCACCGAAAAAGTCTTCTCAACAATCTGGCGATGGCGCCTCTGGAACAAGTGTTAATCTACCATTTATCTCGGCGGAAATCGGAAAACTTACTAAGCTTGACATTAGCAGCTGTTCTCCTGAAAGATTTGAGATATGGAAACAACGATGGGACTGTGTTATAACGATTACTCGGTTTTATGAACTTTCAAATGAAACTCAAAAAGCTCTCTTTATCAATGCACTTAGTGATGATACTATCAAACGAATGAACAACTTAGGACAACAAGATGTTGAAACTCTCATTGAATCTTTTCAACGCCAGGTATGTGGCAGTTCAAATATATTTGTGCATGAATATGAATTCCACAAACGAGTACAAGGCTCGAATGAATCGTTTGATGAGTTTTACAATGATCTACAAACACTACTAAATAAATGTCAATACAAGGACTGTTGCCAGAGCTCAACACGAATGTCGTGTAAGAACAGAATTCTCTTGGCAAGTCTCGTGGCTGGTATAAAGTTTCATGACATAAGAAAGGGACTTCTCTGTATTCAAGACCTTACTCTTGACAAAGCTGTACAATATATCCAAGTAGATGAAGCTACCTCTTCCCAAGCTGATAAGTTTTTAACTAAA